AAACTGAGTCCATGAAAAGATATCATCATTTTAATCTTTAACCTTACTTGATGGTTGTAGAGAGCTAAAAATAAGTGTATTTTCAGATCAGTGAATGGACCTTAGAACACTTAATATCTTTCCACAGTTTTACAAATGATTATAAACACCATTTCCTGTTGTCTCTCACTTTCAATAGAGCTTAACATATGGTTGTCACATTATGGAGAGCAAACTAAACCCCGCACACTTTGGCAGTCTGTTAATATGATGTTAATGAGTGAAAATATTTAAAATTCAATTTATGATTTAAACCAGGAGCAACACCAGAGATTCTTGTGATAAATCAATCTGATTCTATCAGCTCCTTAAAAAAATACTTTTGTTGAATTTTAATACTTTATCTTTTTATTTTAACAAAATAAATTTAACTTACTTTCAGAAGAGTGGCTGCAGCACCTCCAATCAGAAGGAGAGGGGACTCAGCCATTTGGGCATTCTTTACTGCTGTAACTGTGTTGGTCACACCTAGAGTTAACGGATTTATAAATTGTAATTATTTCCGGGGGGGGGGGGGAAGAAAGTAGAAGACTTACTCTGGGAATTTGAAGCTTTGGGAATTTGAACAGGTAACGGCCCACTCTCTCTAGCCTCCCATGCACCAGCAAACAGACTACTGAGATGGTTACTAAGGTACCTGTGTAGATGTGTGATATTATAAATGATAACATAAATCCCTACGTTTGTCTGTCTGGAAGGAGATTTTAAAAAAATTTTTTTTTTTAATTTCAAAAAGGCATCTTGTTTCAGATAATTATGAGTTTTGATAGGTTGAAATCTTAACGGCTCACATTTCTGACATATAATTTCAGTAGGTGGCAATGCAACTTGAAAATCAGAAAAAGCTTTGTATGAAATAAGTGGCAATCAGGAGTCACAACAGTTGTGAAAAGCCTGAATATTGAATTTTACATAATTTTTTTTAGTAACATACCAGTTGACTACACGTTGACCCAAGCTGGATGGACCTGTGTCTTTCATTCCTATTTCTTTTTTCACAAGTTGATATGGATAAAGTGTGTCTATTGGGAACTCAACGAAAACTGGTCCTAAAAACAAGGAAGTAACAATACTTTAAAAAAAAAACAACATAAAATAAACAATTAACCTTTCTTTGATAACAATATTTTCATTGCAATTCATTTTTTTATTTTTTTTATTAATCTATATTATTTTTACAATGTTACAAAGCTGATACAGAAATTATTTTATTTTACACTCAGTTCCAAAAAAAATAAAATAAATCTACTCACATACAAACTGGAAAGTTGTTATTTTATGTCTCATATTAATATTGCATGATTGCCAGGATGTCTTAAGTTGATTATTGTGTGAATACCACAATGTCTCATGTTAAGTAGCCGGCACCGGTACTGTATTTTGTGATAGTCTGGATGTCTCATGTAAATTATTGTAGTATGATTGCCAGGATGTCTCATGTTAAATATTGTATGATTGCCAGGATGTCTCATGTTAAATATTGTATGATTGCCAGGATGTCTCATGTTAAATATTGTATGATGGCCAGAGTCAGAGCAATGGAGCAAAACTAAATATTCAGAGTAGAGCCCTTGAAACTTGTTCCCACTTTAGGCAGGAAATATTAGAAACAAGGTATGTTAAAACCTAAAAAAAAGGATGCAACAAAATAAGGAAAGTGTTGGCAAAAAGCCTCCTTCTTCAGGGAACAAATATAAAATTAAAACTTGGCTGTAATGTTGTATCCAAGGTGTCGTATCCAAGAGGGCAGCAAGAGGCATATGGTAGACCATTAGTAGATAAAAGAGTTAGTACAAGGCGAAAGGGGGTGGAAAAGTAGGTTGACAACGGAAAAGGAGGGGGGTAGAGAAAAGCTCAAACAAGTGAAGGAGAATATATGACATTCTCTAAGTTCACCCCGGCAGGCGTGTTGGTGCAGGAAACAATTTCGCTTATTGTCCAATCGCTTGAGCCCTTGTGGTCCTTCTATTGTATTGTTTTCAGATAGGACATTGTTTATCTTCCTTAATATTTCTAGATGTTCAGTACATCTGTCTGAAAGATGCCAACCCATCTTGCCAGATTAGCCATATGGCAGCGGGTACAAACAATGGTGTAGATAAAATTGCAGCTTGTGGAAAGGACAAAGTCTCTTATCTATCTGAAAACTACCCTTAGGCAAAAAAATCTGTTAAATCTGGATGACGAAAGGGCAAGTTTTACAATGACTGTGTCCACATGGCTTGGTCCCAAAGTGGGAGGAGGCAGCATGGAAGTGGCTAAGAAAAAGGAGATCTCATAGATTCTTATTTCTTCTGAACACAATGAGAGGCAGAGTTGAGAAAATGTTGGGGGTGTCAGATCAGTGAGGAGAAAGGCACAGTTTTTTTTAAAAAACCTGTTTGGCTAAGAGATGGGGCGGATGATAAGTATGAATAAGTTTGGTCCTGTCGCCATTGTCAATCAGACAAGACTTGAAGGAGTGATGATTTTAACCTGTTAAAGTTAAAGGGCTGATCAAAGCACTGTTTCCAGGTAGGACCAACACCGGAAATAGGCAATTGTCTCAAGTGCATTGTCCCAAGTGTCATTGTCAGACTGACAACATCGACGAAGTAGTTGAGAAAAGGCAATAAGTTCCTTACAGGATATAGGGTGAGAAGAAGAGTAGAGTAAATAGCTGTGGCTGTCAGTAGGTTTAAAGTAGGCAGAAAGTGAGTAGGCTGATATTTTTGAAGGGTGACCATAATGTCCAAAAAATTAACAGAGATTTCAGAGACCTGTGAAATGAATTTCATGGAGGGGGGGGGGGTCTAAAAAGTGGATGAAGGGTCAAGTTCACTCCTCTCCATAGTGCTGACCCCCAATACCATCATCAAAGTACCATTAATAAAATTCAAGGAAGCATCCATAGCAACACCATTGATTTGGCCAAAAAAAACAACTTTATTTGTGATATTGTAGGTCAAAATTTGAAGTGATGAAATCAGATATCCAATAACTTTGATTAAAAGCAATGACCAAGTCTCACCAGGAGTTCCAGACTGAGCAATCTGCAGAGCTTTCCTGAGAGTTGGTTTAATGTCCCTCACGGATGTCACTGTGGCACAGAACTTGCACAAAGGTTTGAACAGAGAGATCTGATCGATGTCCTGCAGGGCACCTCTTCCCTGGGGAAATGTTTTAGAGAAAACTGAGTCCATGAAAAGATATCATCATTTTAATCTTTAACCTTACTTGATGGTTGTAGAGAGCTAAAAATAAGTGTATTTTCAGATCAGTGAATGGACCTTAGAACACTTAATATCTTTCCACAGCTTTACAAATGATTATAAACACCATTTCCTGTTGTCTCTCACTTTCAATAGAGCTTAACATATTGTTGTCACATTATGGAGAGCGAACTAAACCCCACACACTTTGGCAGTCTGTTAATATGATGTTAATGAGTGAAAATATTTAAAATTCAATTTATGATTTAAACCAGGAGCAACACCAGAGATTCTTGTGATCAATCAATCTGATTCTATCAGCTCCTTAAAAAAATACTTTTGTTGAACTCTAATACTTTATCTTCTTATTTTAACAAAATAAATTTAACTTACTTTCAGAAGAGTGGCTGCAGCACCTCCAATCAGAAGGAGAGGGGACTCAGCCATTTGGGCATTCTTTACTGCTGTAACTGTGTTGGTCACACCTAGAGTTTACAAATAAACAACCAAAAGTGGAATTTAAATTTTATGAAGAAAATTATGCTACACTTCAATATACTCATAATCTGTTAATTAATCATACATAAATTAATAAATAAATTAGACAATTAGTAAAGTAAAAAATTTCTCCAACTAAATGTTTAAGAATCAACCTGGCCCGGCTGTTACAGCTGCAACACCCACAGTCCCTGACATCCTCGCCACGGCATCAGCAGCAAACACCGCTGTAACCTGTTAAATACAAGCAAATGCAATAATAATTCCCAGCCTGTCACAACTTAAAATTAAAGACTCATAAAAGATAAAAATGAGTTAGGTTATAGTTAACCAGCAAACTCATCTTAAATAAGCTTGAAGAAACTGCATTTAAAAAGAGAAGATTTAGCAAGTTTCATTATCGGTTTGCTCTTGTTGAGGGTTATTCAATAGCTGTAATTTTTACTCGGTATTTGAACTCGATGTGTATGTGACTATGCAAAATTATGTGACTGTCAGGTAAAACAGCCTTTTTTTTGCTTTTTTTGGTTTTCACAGTGAGTCTTTTAATCCCACACATTTTGGGGGTGGGGGGGGGGGGGGGGGGGAAGGGAGGCGCGACTGTTGCGGTCATTAGTTTTTTCATGGGATTTGAGTCATAGACTGCCAGTGTACATGTCTCCTAGGTTACTGACAGTGACATCCAGTTATATTTTGGAATTATCATTACGTTCCTAGCATGTAATATTCTATATAATTTAAAACACATTCAGTTTCAGTAAAATAACAGCATAATTTGAATTATATTTATGGTTTTGAAAAACTATTAGAAAATTTACCTACCTCATGTCTAGTGTCAACAACCCGGACACCTATCTTCTCACATGCCACCAGAATGGGGGATATGTGACCTCCAGCCAGAGTGAAAATATGCTTGATGTTATGTGCCTGAGAAGGCCATGGAAGTAGATTATTATGGCTTTTAATAACATGTTGATGGGGATTATTACAGCTAAACTTTTTTTATAACTGTTTATAAGTTAATGTCATACTTATAATGCTTTATGAAAAGCTCCAGAAAAGTTATTGCTATCAAAAAACCTTTGTCATTGAAGTGAAAAAAATATTGAATACAGGTAGTCAAAATTAGCACTTTAAACAATCACTCCAGATGCTCAGTCTTTGAAGGTCAGTATTTTTATAAATTCCTGCTTTCCTGTGACACTTAATGATTGTAGAACTCTTAGAGCAGACTATCTTACCTTAAGAACTTCTGCGACAAGTTCTCCTCCATGACGTTTTGACTTTTCGTCAACCTATTGTACAAGTTAAAATGTAAAAAAATTAATTATTGGTTAGTGTTTATGAGGTTTGAAACTAAATAATGCATTAAAATTTTTCAGAGTGAAATGAAATTGTTATTGCACTTCTTTTATTTTTTTACACTGTAGCCATCTTGTTGACATGTCAGCGGACGTATAAAAAAAGTAGTGCAAAAAACAAGGGTTGAAAATGGGGAGCGGAAAGGGAGAGAGTGTGTTTTAGCTACTTGCAGAGAAATGAAAATAAGGAAAATAATGAGAATAAGTTATTGTTACGACCTTTGTTATACTTGAAGTGTTACGGCCCTCTTGCGTTGTCTAGGGTGTATGAATCTCTCAAATAGAACACAAGGTCCAGTGTAACAATATATAATATTTATTAGATTCTTTACAAAACAGGATACACATCAGTCCGACTACCAATTATCCACTCGCTCCTATCGCTACTGACTAACTCTTAACTGACAACTTTCGACGACTAACAATTCTCTTGCTCTTCTATCGTTCTTCTCTGACCTCTAGCTAACACATATCCCTTTTATAATACCACACAAACAACTCAGCCTATGCAAACGTTCCACACCACGGACTAACTTCACGCTCTGACCTCACAATCAACAACTCACAAAACACTCACGATTCACGACTCCCCCTACCCAACATTCACAACAAACTAGTTCACAACAGTTATTTTTTAAACAAAATCATTAAGAAAAGGACATTTTAGTAATATTAGGGTGAATAAAAATTATAACATAAGAACATTTAATAATTAACTGATAAAAATTTAATGAAATATTTTTGGCAAAAATCCTTAAAACTTTAAAATCTACTATTACTCTACCTAAACTGAAGGCTAGTGTGAAAATGATGTCTCCCTAACTCAAGCATAAATCTTCAAACCTAAAATCAGTCTCCTAAAAAGCTTAAAATTATTTTAAAATCTTCAAAGTAATGAAAATTCAACTTACAGTTTTATCTAATACACTTTTTCATACGTAAATTCCCCCCTAATTTAGTCCCCCCCCCCCACTGTTCTGAGTAAATCTTAAATATTCAACATAATGAAAACCCAGCTTACAGTGTCATCAAAACACTAACTTTTATACACTTTATTGCAGGTTCCACCAAAAAAAGCCAAAAGTTGTCATTCCAAGATAAAGGAAAAATTTAGTCTTGTTTTAAATATTATAATTAACCACCTAATGAAATGTATTTAAAATGTTACTTCGGCGTGCCACTCATTTCTCAAGTCCATCATCTTGGTTGCCATGACCAATGACAGGTCATGGCAACCAAGATGGCAGCTGTGTATAAAAACACACATTTGCTAAAATGGGGAGGGGAAAGGGAGAGAATGTGCTGGTTTAGGGAGTTAAGCTATTTACTAAATTAGGATCAAAACATAAAAATTTAATGAATTAATTTCAGTTGGTACATTAATTTGGTGGTGAACGTAGCTACTTTATTGTATCCCTCTAGATATGCTGCAAGAGGTCTCAATGACCAGCGGTTGCTCCCTATCCTGGCATAATTTCAGCCGGCACATACTCCCTTCCTTCAACTAAAACACATGTGCGACAAAGTACATTTACACAATGTGGTAAGAAAAGTGGCAGCCCAGGGAAATAAGTGGCATGGATAGCGTAAATTTATATAAAAAATGCATTCCATCTGTGTATTAATATAAAATAAGAGAATAGTTAACTCCGGTAAAAATTTGCGACTAAACAAATGGGAGTTCACTCATCCACAGAAACTCTGGGGTG